CGCGGCTTCGTTAGTTTAGCTCAGCTGTCTCGGGTTAGCTGCCTGTTAGCTGCCTGTTAGCTGCCTGTTAGCTGCCTGTTAGCGGGCTGAAGCCGCGCTGCTTCACAGAAACATGAAGACACGTTTAAAGACCGTCGGACCTTTCTGCTCTGTTCTCTGGCGACGGCAGCGTTTCCTCGCTGGATGAGACGCTCCGTCACAAACACGTCTAACGTAATAAAGTCATTGCAGGTTCTGAAGCCTCACGCGTTTCTACTGTAGTTCACGCGTCACATCGTGAGAAGACGTTAAACCGTCTCGGCCACCGTACGCTCGTTACTAAGCAACGTAGAGGCGCCACAAATAATGTCCTGCAGCGATTGTAGGACGTTAAGGTCTCTTTAGTTGGGACAGTGGAAACAATAAAGGAGCATGAAGTGTCAAAAGCATTCAAGTAAACAGACAAAGACAACAAAGTGTTGCGTTTAGGTCCCTGGTCCTCATGAAGTTGTTACACCTTTGCCAATTTGTTAAATTGCCTTTCAAATAAATGCTTTGCTATTTGTTAAAATCCAAATCCTTTCATGTGATGATTCACATGTCATTTATATCAGCTCACACAAACACTTCAACCACTTGTTCCATTGTGGCCGCGAGTCAAAAAGTCTGCCGACCTGCTATAGACCTGTCCTAGGAGGGACATCTATAGACCTGTCATAGGAGGGACATCTATAGGCCTGTCCTAGGAGGGACATCTATAGACCTGTCATAGGAGGGACATCTATAGGCCTGTCCTAGGAGGGACATCTATAGGCCTGTCCTAGGAGGGACATCTATAGGCCTGTCCTAGGAGGGACATCTATAGACCTGTCCTAGGAGGGACATCTATAGACCTGTCATAGGAGGGACATCTATAGGCCTGTCCTAGGAGGGACATCTATAGACCTGTCATAGGAGGGACATCTATAGGCCTGTCCTAGGAGGGACATCTATAGGCCTGTCCTAGGAGGGACATCTATAGACCTGTCCTAGGAGTGACATCTATAGGCCTGTCCTAGGAGGGACATCTATAGGCCTGTCCTAGGAGGGACATCTATAGGCCTGTCATAGGAGGGACATCTATAGACCTGTCATAGGAGGGACATCTATAGGCCTGTCCTAGGAGGGACATCTATAGGCCTGTCCTAGGAGGGACATCTATAGGCCTGTCCTAGGAGGGACATCTATAGACCTGTCCTAGGAGGGACATCTATAGGCCTGTCCTAGGAGGGACATCTGATGGACAACCAAGTACTGCAAGCTGGACTATTATGCAGCTGTAGACACACCACAGGGGTCTCTGGGCCTGAGAAGGGAAGAAAATGAGTTTAATGTGGATGTTAAATGGGACTAAAACTAAGAAGGATTAAAATGACCAAATGTAATACAATATGCATTTTTCGTATAAAGACTAAATCAAAAATAGCTGCCAAAATGAACACTGCTTCATTGGCTGCCAACAGGAGCATCCTGAACAGGTGGTGGGGAGGAGGACACTGAAAACAGGGACCAGCCTCTTCACCACCTACTGCTGCGACACGGAGCATCTTCTCCAACAGGCTGATGCAGCTCCGCCGTCACACGGACGGATACAGGAAAACATTCCTGCCAACAGAACACAGCGTAGTACCTCTGGATGAATCCTTGTATATTTGAACAACAAATATCATCACACTGCACTACTGTCTTTCATTTTCTCATTTAACTGTACACACTCCTGTCTCACCTTCACTAATTTAATGTAATATGTTCTGCTCTTCTCATTTTATTTACTGTGTTGCTGCTATCAGGGATTAATAAAGTGTGTATCCATCCATCTACCGACGCAGCATGAGCTCGGGTTAGCGGTTAGCTTCACGTTAGCGCACACACACACACTCAGTAAGGTGATGGATGGTCTGATGACATCGTGGTCCAGTCTGTCTGCCCAGCTGCCTGTCTGCAAACACACACACACACACACACACACACACAGACACACACACACAGACACGCACGGGTGAACACAAAGAGGCAGTGAAAGATCAGCCCATTAGTTAATTAGTCTGCTGAGCTGAAGGGAGTCCAGAGAGGGAGAGTGTGTGTGTGTGTGTGTGTGTGTGTGTGTGTGTGTGTGTGTGTCTTTAGCAGCGTGTCAGAGCTCCATCAAGGAGCAGCAGAGAGAAGTCAAACATGTCTTAAGTTGTAAACACATTTTATCATTCAGATGTTTTTACTTCTTCAAGTCTTGAGCACATTTAAAATTAAGAATATTGTTGTTTGATAATAACATTATTGATCATCACTAACACCATCTGGGAGTAATGCGTGTGTCCGTCGAGCTCCGTGTTACTGGAGCTTTGTGAGAATTCAGAGATGAGACGGACTGAAGCAGATCAACAACTGGCCTGGAACACACTCGACACGCTGTGTGAGAGCTAATTGTAACTAATAAGATGCTCTAAACCAGCGGTAGACCTGAGGTGCTAGAGCTCCTCTCTCTCCTCTGTCCTCGTCCTTCTGGACGTCTCTGCTGCATTTGACACAGTCAACCAGCAGATCCTCGTCTCCTCCCTTCAGGAACTTGGTGTCTCAGGCTCTGCTCTCTCGCTTCTCTCGTCCTACCTCGACGGCCGCACCTACCGGGTAACCTGGAGAGGATCTGTGTCGGAACCTTGTCCTCTTACTACTGGAGTTCCTCAGGGTTCCGTCCTGGGTCTCCTCCTCTTCTCGCTCTACACCAACTCTCTCTGCGCTGTCATTCGCTCGCATGGCTTCTCCTACCACAGCGATGCCGATGACACCAACTAATCACAGTTCAGAACACTGGTGCTCACGTATCACGCTGTGAATGGATGGGGTCCAGCTTACATCCAGGACCTGGTCCAACCCGACACCCCGACCGCACTCTCCGCTCTGCATGTGATAAACTGCTTGTTTCTCCTCACTGAGAGCAAAACACTCCACTAGATCTCCACTCTTTGCTGTCCTGCTCCTAAATGGTGGAAGGAGGTCTCTGAAGACATCAGGACCACAGAGAGCCTTCACATCTTCAGACTAAAGACACACCTCTTCAGACTCTACCTCCACTAACACACTAACTAACTGTAGCACTGACATTGGACTCATAATGGTTCTTATCTACAGCGAGTTGTAAACTGGCTTATTTGATGAAATCACACTTTCTTGTTTCTTGTTCTTCTGAGTTTGTGTCCTTATGGTTGAAATGTTCTTATTGTAAGTCGCTTTGGATAAAAGCGTCAGATAAATGACATGTGATGATAAGGATGAGGTAGACTGCGTGTAGTTAAATCAATGTTTCTCTCTCCACAGTCATGATGCTCCTTTGAAGTTGACTCTTCGTCAGACCTGCAGCCAACCTTCTCCTCCCTCCTCTCCTCCTCTCTTTCCACCATGCTTCCTTGTGCCTCTCCGCTCCACCTCTTCCTCCTCCTTTCCCCTATGCTCCTCTCCTCCCCCCTCCTCTCTGCCCCGGCTGCATCTCCCTCCCCCTCCGTGGCGTCGGGCAGGGTGGTGTACCGGGCCTTTGACTCCTCCCCTCACACACCTGACTGTCCATCGGAGGACAGGTGAGGTGTTCGTGGGGTGCCGTCAACAGAGTCCTGAAGCTCTTCAGCCAATCTGACGGAGCTAAGGAGTCACATGACTGGACCAGTGGAGGACAACGCCAAATGTATCTCTCTCCCAGTGTCAGGGCCTGTGCTCTCAGGTGAGTCTGTACCTGTCTGTCTCCTGGCCTTGTCTGTCTATATGTCCCTTCACTTTTCTGTCTTGCTGAGTCCTCTTCAGTAGGTCGCCATATGCAATATATGACATATCGCACAATGTAGGACAATGATCATTTTTGGTGGTGCGATGTTCATTTGACAGAAATGAACGTTGGCGCTTCGTCTTGTCTGCGTCCATGGTCGGGGGCGGGGCTTACCGACCGGCGAAGGGAACACGTGAACCCTTAGTGTTCTTTCTTCTCTTCAGCATCGCTGTGGGAACGTTTGAGAGAAGAGAGACGATAACGTGAACGAGCCGCTACGTCCACTTAGTTTAAAAACACAACGGAAACAGGACACGACGAAGCTCAAAGCTCCCCTGAAACAACGACCTGAACTACTGCGGCTCCTCCATGTCGCCGCCCTGCCCGGGCCGGCCGGTTGTTAGGGGGACCGGGCCACTCCGTCTCCAACCCGACTGATGCCCTCCGCCTGATGCTCCGCCCGATGCGTCGCCCGATGCATCGGCCAATGCATCGGCCAATGCGTCGCCCAATGTTTCGCCTGATGCGTCGCCCGATGCTCCGCCCAATGCGTCGCCCGATGCTCCGCCCAATGCGTCGCCCGATGCTCCGCCCAATGCGTCGCCCAATGCTCCGCCCGATGCTCCGCCCGATGCTCCGCCCAATGCGTCGCCCGATGCTTCGCCCGATGCGTTGCCCGATGCGTCGCCCGATGTGTCGCCCGATGCTTCGCCCGATGCGTTGCCCGATGCTCCGCCCAATGCGTCACCCAATGCTCCGCCCGATGCGTCGCCCGATGCTTCGCCCTATGCTTCGCCCGATGCTCCGCCCGATGCGTCGCCCGATGCGTCGCCCGATGCGTCGCCCGATGCTTCGACCTATGCTTCGCCCGATGCTTCGCCCGATGCTCCGCCCAATGCGTCGCCCGATGCTCCGCCGATGCTTCGTCTATGCTTCGCCCTATGCTTCGCCCGATGCTTTCGCCCAATGCTCCGCCCAATGCTCCGCCCGATGCGTCGCCCGATGCGTCACCCGCTCCGTGTCCCCATTTATTTTTTAGTTTTATTCACGTAGGATATATTTTTTCACATTCCGATACCAATGTCTAACTATTCTGATTATTATTATATTGTCATTATGTTGACATCAGTGGCATAAAATGGTTCGTTTATCGCATTAAATGTTGGTGCAATAATCGCACAACGAAGGTTTGATTTGGTGACAGCCGTACTCTTCAGTCTCTTCCCTCTGGCTGCTCATCTGTCTAATGTCCCGCCTGTCTGTCTCTGTCCTCAGGCTGGACTCGTCCGATAACGTGAACAAGCTCTTACTGGTGGATTATACTGGGAACCGACTGGTGGCGTGCGGCTCCATCTGGCAGGGCGTCTGTCAGTTCCTCAGGCTGGAGGACCTCTTCAAGCTGGGGGAGCCTCACCACCGCAAAGAGCACTACCTGTCTGGAGCCAGAGAGGCTGATGGGATGGCAGGTAAGGTGCACCTGGTCAGGCGGGAAATCAAGACACAGGCCTAAAAGGACATTTAAGACCAGCAGTCACTGAAGTCATAAATCTAATGAAATCCTCTTAAAGAAACATGCTAACATTCAATGCCTGGGAGCTAACGAGCTAATGCTGATTCAGTGCAGGCGTCACTGCGTAGGTTAACAGTTAAAACTACGTTAATTTACCTTGAGCGAAAGACCTGTCGATCAGCTGAGGACCTGTGTCATGAACGCCCCGCCCCTCCTCCTCAGGCGTGGTTGTTGGTGAGGACGACTGGGCGGCCGACCCAAAGAGGAAGAGGCCAGCCAAGGGCGGCAGCCGCCTCTTCATCGGCGCCGCCATTGACGGCAAGTCGGAGTACTTCCCCACGCTGTCCAGCAGGAAGCTGGTGGCGGACGAGGAGAGCGTCAACATGTTCTCGCTGGTCTACCAGGACGAGTTTGTCTCCTCGCAGATCAAGATTCCCTCGGACACGCTGTCCCTCTACCCGGCCTTCGACATCTACTACGTCTACGGCTTCTCCAGCCGCACCTACGTCTACTTCCTCACGCTGCAGCTGGACACGCAGCTCACGCAGATGGACGCCGGCGGAGAGAAGTTCTTCACCTCCAAGATAGTTCGCATGTGCTCCAACGACACAGAGTTCTACTCCTACGTGGAGTTCCCTCTGGGCTGCACCAAGGACGGGGTGGAGTACCGCCTGGTGCAGGCCGCCTTCAGGCAGAAACCAGGGCGCCGCCTGGCACAGGCCCTGGGCCTCTCCGAGGAAGACGACGTCCTGTTCGTCGTCTTCTCCCAGGTGAGAGGAGGTAGGGGGTGAGGGGGACGAGGGGGGAGACAGTCACACCTCAATTCCCAGTTTCACGTGGGTTTTCTCTTTTTCGGTTTCTGTTTTGTCCTCCTGCCGTCTCCCCTGTGTCCTCCCCCTTGCCTCAGGGACTTGAACCCTCGCCTCTCTCCCTGTGTTTCAGGGTCAGAAGAACCGGTCCAACCCGCCCAGGGAGACGGTCCTGTGCCTGTTCACCCTGCAGCACATCAACCTGGCGATGAGGGAGAGGATCCGCTCCTGTTATCGGGGGGAGGGCCGACTCTCGTTGCCGTGGTTACTCAACAAGGAGCTGCCCTGCATCCACACGGTGAGAAGGTTCTCCACCCATCAGATGAACTGGTGGTGGACGTTTATCAGACGTTATCGCACATCCAGGCCTGTCCCTCTGTCTGTCTCTGTCTGTCTTCACAACATGTGTGTTTTAGTCACTAGTGGTGTCCATTAAATGAAGGTAGTATCTCCTCGTTCTTCGTCTCCTTTGTTCTGTTGTTAAAGGTGTGATTTAATCCTTATTAATATATGACTTAATAAACCCCCCAGCCGAAGCAGATCGGGGATGATTTCTGCGGGCTGGTCCTGAACCAGCCTCTGGGGGGGCTGCGGGTCATCGAGGGGAGCCCGCTCTACGAGGACCGGACCGAGGGCATGGGCGCCGTGGCGGCCTACACCTACGGCGAGCACACGGTGGTGTTTGTGGGCACGCGCAGCGGACAGCTGAAGAAGGTAGGCTTCTTCTTCTGCAGCGCTTCCTGTTTCACCTCCACCTCTGGGGTTTGTCTCCTGGCCTGTGTATACATACATGCATGGAGAGGTCTGACGGTGCCGTTAACTACACCACCATCTCCCGCATCCTGGAGCTGAGAAGAAGGCTGAATGTTGACAAACCAACGACAGAATTTTTGATTAAACAACTAACTTCTCGTCTGAAAAAGTCCTAACATGACATTCCGTGACTAACTAACGTTAGTAGTATGCCATTATTGCTTGTTGCTGAGGTGAAATGCATTCTGGGATATTTGGCTCTCGCAAGAACAGACAATTCTACTCCGATGCATTCTGGGTAAAGTGGGGGGGGTGCGAGTCACATCCGGGTTTTATGACCGTTCTCGGACTTTAGATTGGAACAGTACTCAGCTGTGATTAGTCCACAAGGACATGAGAACACCCAAGAACGCATATTGAGAAAGGGCCAATGACTTGAGGTTGTCCTTCTTCTGTTTCCTGGTAGATCCCAGTGGATCCTGCGTCTGGTTGTAGTAACTGTATCAGTAATCCCAGTCTATTGATCTGGTGTTGGGAGAGAGAGTTGATCTGAAGCGCTGAGGAGCAGAGAGCAGCCGTGTCTCAAAGTCGCTAGGCTGCATCCTTGTAGCCTCCGGGCTTGGCGGTAGACCCGGGCTGGTCCTCCAACAACCGCATAGGCTGAACCGAGCGGCCTCTGAAATGGGACGGTCCGCCTCCGTCCTCAATAAATTAAATCCCCGTCGGCCCGCATGACCTTTTAAGTCATCATCACAGACAGACGGCAGAGACTGTCTTCCTTCCCCTTCTATCTCCTCTCATAGCTACTCGCCAGGTTTTGATGCTTGTTGAATACAATAAGGAGGGTTTGATTCATTTCTCTGGTGGAATCTGGACTCAAGCGTTTCTTCTCAAATGGGAAAAACGCTTCTGGGTTTCTTCTATATTTTAGGGTTAAATCATAGTGAAGCTCCAGTTTATCTACAGACCCTCAGAGACCCCCAAAGACCACGTATTTGCTCCCCGAATGTCAGCAGGCATTTAGGCTGTTACAGCCAGATGTCCAGCTCTTACTGAGGCGGTCTGTGGACTAAACAGGAAATAATTGTGGACCTGAAACCAGAAGCCACAGAGGGACTTTTAGTTGGTGCGACCACCCACAGAGAAACCCCGGCGTGGTTAGAAGGTTAACATCTGAGCTGCAGCTCCACCCTGCTTCTTATAGGAAGAGCTAAACTGGCTGTGGGTTCCTGACTCAAAGGTCAGATCAGGACGGAGCTACTAATGCTAACTCCACTCTCTGAGAACACGTAGCTGGGTGGAGCTACTAATGCTAACTCCACTCTCTGAGAACACGTAGCCGGGTGGAGCTACTAATGCTAACTCCACTCTCTGAGAACACGTAGCTGGGTGGAGCTACTAATGCTAACTCCACTCTCTGAGAACACGTAGCTGGGTGGAGCTACTAATGCTAACTCTACTCTCTGAGAACACGCAGCCGGGTGGAGCTACTAATGATAACTACTCTCTGAGAACACGTAGCCGGGTGGAGCTACTAATGCTAACTCCACTCTTCGAGAACATGCAGCCGGGTGGAGCTACTAATGCTAACCCTACTCTCTGAGAACACGTAGCCGGGTGGAGCTACTAATGCTAACCCTACTCTCTGAGAACACGTAGCCGGGTGGAGCTACTAATGCTAACTCCACTCTCTAAGAACACGTAGCCGGGTGGAGCTACTAATGCTAACTCTACTCTCTGAGAACATGCAGCTGGTTGGAGCTACTAATGCTAACTACTCTCTGAGAACACGTAGCCGGGTGGAGCTACTAATGCTAATGCAGTTCTTGAACATCTCAACAGTTGCCATTGTAGCAATAGCAGCATTTCTCGTAGTAGCAGTTACTGTGGCAACAGCAGCCCTTCTTTTCATATCTCCTCTTCTTCTTCTTGTATCAGCTCATCTGACAGCTGATTGCGTACAGAGAGGGTGATGTCATCAGCATGTAAGGAGAGAACGAGGCGACAGGAAGTGTGTGTGTGTGTGTGTGTGTGTGTGTGCGCGCGCTGAGTCCTAAACAAACAGGCCTGAGGGAGGAGACACGCTACACTGACCTCACCTCAAACACGTCTCAGCCGGCCAATCAGTTTTCTTTTTTGTATGAAAGGACATATCCTCCCTGTTCTCTCCTCCACTAGCACAAAGTGAATCAGTGTATATAAGTCAGCCAATCAGCTGCCTCCTTCATAGTGCTCTTATCCCTGATTGGCTGATGACATGTCAAGGAATAATTCAACAGTAACCAAGCTTCTTCTTGTCTGGGATCAGATGCTCCGTGCCAGAGAGGGAAATGAGTCCTCTGATTGAGATTCATATCATATTGATTATTTTGAGGAGAGGCCTGCACCTGTTCCTCTCTCCGCTTGGCTTCCTCCTCCTGTAGACCTGTGTGCAGGATAAGCGGTTTGATGATGGATGGATGGACATTTAACCTCTATTAATATTAATAATAAATGTCCTTAATTGGCCTTCCTGTATATGCATTTTTCATCAAATGGCAGCAATGAGACTATTAGGCAGTAGTCTACAGATTCAAACCGCTTGAACATTCAGCAGAACGCTGTCTTTGCATCCGAGTGAGACATCTCTCACCGACTATGTACACTCAGGCCCTTTCTCAATACCACCAAGACGGCGACAACGGAGGACAGACTCGGGAGTCCTGACTAACGTTACAGGAGAACCGAGAACAGTCATTTCCGCAATATGAACAACAGCTGACTAGATGAGTCACCGCGTCAGCTGGTCTTGCTAATACATTTCAATACAGTTCTTGACTTAAGTATTTTACTGTTATCAAGCTTTTGTTGTGTTTTCATTTTGGATTAGAAATGGTGTATTTATAAAATGGAGCACCAGAGTAAATATATATCAGTCAAAAAATAATAAGGCCAAATATCTCAATGGATCAGATCACAGTTGTTAAACAGTCAAACATCTTTCTAAAGGAGATGAAGAGGAGCAGCTGTAGTTCTTTACTGGATCACACTGACAGGTTTATATCTACTTTGTATTCATATTGGATGGAAGAACAACATACAAACGTTACTGAGGTGAACATTTAATTCAGGGCTTTTGTATTACATCAAGAATCGGGAACATCACACTGCATTAGCGTTCTAATGGTTTCATACTTTCATCAAAGTAAGACGAGGTTGGATACAGTAAGAACAATTAAACAGTATTTTATTGGATAGTAACACATTCCACTTACACACACCTACCGTTTGTCTTCTTGTTACTCAAACACCAAGAGGCCGATGATCAGTGTGATGGTCCTCGTACAGTTAAACGCACAAACAGCACTATAAATCACATTGCCGATGTACCTGAACCTCTTCTGTGTCTCCACATTACGTAATAGTATGTTATGTATATAATATGGTGATCAATGAGGCTATACACTGTAAGACGGATGACATCATTTGTGATTAACGTCATAGTATGTAATATCTACGATATGGTGGTAGTTGCGCGCAAGAGGTAAGAGGACGATATATTCAAATTAAAACATTTTTCAGAAAATAAATATACATATTCCTTCTGTGGTGCGGCCCGGTACCAAGTGGCTCACAGACCGAATGAACAATGATAGACTATAACAAGCCTGCACACTATGCTTCAATTTAAACATGAAGTTATGAATTTTAACTCTGTCCTCAAACAGACGTAACGTTACCACATTAAAAGTTATGAAGACGCAGCCCAGTTATTGTATAGTTATAGCTCATGTATAACCGGTACGGAGACGTAAAAACCAGCATTTCACAGAAGACTTGCAGAGAACTGGCTGCTCTCTGCGGGCTGAGATGAGCGGCGCCGGAGGGGTCACACGTTAACTACACCTCACATCTCCCATCCTGGACCAAATCGTTACGAAGGCTGAATGTTGACAAACCGACCGTAGAAATGCTGCTTAAACAACTAACTTCTCGTCTGAAAAAGTCCTAAAACTACATTCTGTGACTTAAATATATTAGTATTTATAAACTTTGACAGTTTGTTTATTTTCCTACGTCGTTGTTGCCTGTTGCTGAGGTGAAATGCATTCTGGGATATTTGGCTCTTACGCATGTTGCGACAGAGCCTCTGACGTTAGCTAACGTCAGAGGCTCTGTGTGACGTTTGCTAACGTGACAGAGCTTCTGTGTGACGTTACCTAACGTTGGCTCGCGTATGGGATGTTAGCTAACGTCAGTCGCCTGGTGACGTATTTCTTAATGTCTTCGCTCCCCTTGATAAGAAGCACTACTTTTAAATTTATTTAAGAACGTTTGATTCTTTCCGTCAAGACGAGAATCAAAAACATTCTATGACAACTGGACCGGGTTATTACAGCTTTGATGTTTTTGACAATTTAACTAAATTGTAATTATTGTTGGAGGAGATTATGGGGGCATTTTTTGCCCCTCTCCTCGTAATATTGGGGGGGGGGAAATAATATTTGTTGGGGGCAATTTTTCCCTTTGCCCTTGTGTATTTCCAACGCTGGAGCATCCCATTATTCACTGCCCTAGCAATGAAGGGTTAAATTGTAATGTTTCATCACAAACAAATGTATTCTAAATCCCTCCAGAAATAAACCGTTCATTTGAACCAGGTTCTGTTGGAAACCGATTCTCAGGTCCTCAGTTAATCCATGAAGTCAGATTGATTCATCTGAGACGTGCCGTCATGTGAAAACAAACGGAGAAGCTAAAACTTCTCAACGTTCTGACAATGGTCCAAACAGTCAATTAAATAAAGCGAGAGGCTTCACTGTCTTTATGGCTGGTAGATGTGGAACTACTTAGCTGGTTGGAACCGTTTGAGAACGTCCTTAAACAAGAGTTTACAGAAACAACGTCTCTCGTAGGCGTCGGACGAGGTTTCTTCTTTTGAGAGATGTTGAACTAAACTTGGTGCTTTATTTCAAAATAAA